ACGACGAAGTAAGTAAGACACTAAATTCTATTAGTAGTTCATTCTTCTGAGTGAAAATATTATGATGGGCTAATCCATAATTTTTTTCGTTGTAATAAAAATTTATTCTTAGAGTCGTTGAATTCAGTTAAAGATAATACCACAAACCAGGAGATAGAGATAACTTCCTGCAATGGTTCACAACATATGTAAGTTAGTGTTTATCAAAACTATTGAACATCTAAAATAATTATTAGTAGGTATCTTTAACAACAAATGAGTTATTTATGAATTACTAGATTCAGGATTGGAACAATGGAGTAACAAATCAGGGCTTGTTAGATCTTGCTTGGGGACCCATATGCATCGCCAAAATTTGGCAAATTTATGAAGTGAATGGCTCCAATTTTCATACAAGGTTCTAATCAAGAGGAAAAAAATGAATTACAATTTTGACGTTTGTGTTAAAGCAAATAATGAATCAGAAGATGAGATAGATTACTATGAATTCTCGAAGAAATCATTGAACTATCTTATCTCAGCTTTATTGTGAGAGTGTATTCAAGTTCAATTATGACTGATTCAATCATGTTTCTAATAATGGAACAAAGGTTATCCAACCATATAATATAGTAGATATAAGAGTGAACAGAAGATATGGTCCATTTGATCCGTTCATTTTAGCAAGGCGTTCAAGTCAGATATTTAATCTTTCATATCCTCGTTGAATAAGAGATAAAGTTGAGTGGACAGTTGTTATAGTCGGTAAACCTACGACCATTGATATTTAGAATTCAATTGATCCCCCTCATCCGGAAATATAGAAAATTGATTCATATATTCCACTTGATAATATCAATGAAGAGGTAAATTTAGTGGATGCTAATGACGAACACGAAGAACTTGATATTGATGAGCATGATTTTGGCGATGGTTTGGATGAAATAATTTTAACTACATCCTCAAGTGACTCTTCAGAGTAGGTTAACTAAGATGTGTAATTTTTATTTTATTTTTACTTTGTATTTCTGTGCTTTCAGTTTCAGTAGTTTGTAGATTGCACTTTACATTTTTTTTGTTATGTTTACTGAGTACTATTGTGTTTTCAATTTTAGTAGTCTATAAATTGCATGCAATTTAGTGTTGTGCTTTCTTTTTTTTTTATATTATTGTACTTTCAACTTTAGTTGTATGTAGATGTTCTAATTAAATTTACTTTCCTGCTTTTAATTGACTTCTAGAGGGAGGGATAGTCTCCTCCTATCGGGAGACGTGCCACCTTGCAGGAGTCCATCAACAGATGAGATCTTGGACGTGATGGTATGGAGGCCACCGCATTGAATCCACCTCTAGTCCCAACCACCACACCAACACCTCCGCCAGTCGTGACCACGACACCACTACCACTGCTAGCTACGACACCACCACCGCCACCAGACACGGCACCACCACCACTACCAGTCACGACCTTGACACTGCCACAGCCACTAGCTACGACCACAAAACCACTAACACCATCAGCATCAACTACTATTGATGTGTCATCCAGTTTGAGCAACATAAGCAGTGGTCATCTGCTCTGCCCAGTGGGAACACAAGTTTTATTTTAATATTGACTTTACTACCTTAAACTTTTTAATTTAATAAAGAACCAATCATATGAATATGTTATTTTCAGATTTAGTCCCCCAACACAGGCCATTCATTCCATCAGAGACATTATTCAGAGCAAGTGTGACCATTCATACTTATCATGGAGGGAGATCCTGATGATAGTTCGAGATATGTGGTTTGGGAAGTTTAAGGTAAATACAAAACATAGTAATTAAATTTATGTATTTATTTGTTGACCTCACTTTTGGTTGAGGTCTAG